AACGGTCAGCATATTAGTGTATCTACAAGTATAGTTTCATTTGTTGTGACTCTAGTTTTAACGAATAGCTCCCAGCTTCCAGTTTCAACTTCTCTTCCACTTTGAAACCCGTCACAACTCATTGATCAATACTATTCAATTCCCCCATGTGAGGACTATTTGATTACGATTCAACAATACCGATGCGAAAATTTCAGGGTTTATCTGTTATATCAGGTTTGTGTTATGAATATTACCATTTCTATTATTGTGAATACTATTATTATTGTCAAGTGACTACTGCATAAAATAGTACCTTCAATAATTGTTTTTGCTTTCCCTACTATTTTCGAATACGATAGATTCTTCCATCATCACAAGATCTTTGATTTCATGTTAAACCGTTTGTTTGACTATTTTGCTCGAAATTCATGTTTGGGAAGTTTCTTATTTTGGCTTATTTTCCTCATTGTCTGCAAACCTTTAATTGCAAAGAGGCTTAATCCCAACGCTCATGCTGTGAATACGTAGTGAGCTTGGTATGGTGGGCAGCTTCGCTGATTTTACCCCGAACAGATGATGCTTGCTTGGTAGCTACATTTTTATTATGGCTGCTACCAATTTTGTCGACTTTACAGCCCTTAACTTCAGTGCGTTTCATCGCTGCCACTGCTAATAGATCTATTAGTCTCATTATGCATCCGAAAAACAGTTTAAAAATACCAGCTATCACTGAGAAGTACGTCAGGAGGGCTAATTACGTCAGTTACTATTTCAGATAGTAACAGTGGATTTGTGATAAATATCGATAAAAAAATCGACGAGACTTATAAACTTGTAGAAAGTTGAGAAATTTCGAGCGTAGAGCATAGCGCCTTCCCATGTAGGATAAACAACAGAACCAGAATTATTCATATAATCACCTTCAGAGAGAATATATATTAAGATAACCAAGTGTCTGATGACACCAAGGAGATCAAGACACTCCTAACGTTGGTTCATGTAAGGCATGAAATGTGCCCAGGGTGGTTGGAACTGATGAAACCGGGTCTCGATATTGTCAAGCTTGAAATATTTGTGTTGAAAGAGAAGGGAAAGTGAAGTGAAGGTAATTAAGTGTAGAATCTATTTTGAAGGCTTTGTTTTTGGAAAATCCCTCCATGTATATATATATATATATGTGTGTTACTATCTGACTGACTCTTTCTTTTCGATATTTTGGTACTTTATTTGATCCGGTTTTGTGATTTTATCATTTGTATCTCGTTATTATTTGTATATCTTGTACTTATATTGAAGTTTCCATGTTTCCTTCTGAACTATGTATGTGTTGTTTAAATTTGATACTTAATATGGCTACAGACATATTTGGATTTGATACTTTAGCAGTAACTGACTGGAAGCACTTATTCTTCCAGTAACGGAACCTATTGTGGTGATTGGAAACTCGAAGGTGTAATATTGTTTTGGTAATTGTCTGAATTCCCTTTTATGATTCAATACAGAACCCTTCTCTCCCAGAATTATCGTTTTTGGACTTGGACTGGGCGAGACGCGTATGAACCTACACTTCCAGTTTCGGATCGGATGCGAGAGTAACATAATTACTTTATATTAAGGGTTATCTAAAATACCTAAAACACTCATATTTGTATATGTTCCAAAGAACAAAAAGGCAGATAGATATCCCTGTGTTATTTGGGGGTGGTAGAAGTGCGTCGCTAATTAGAGACGAATTAAATCATGGTGATCATCAGCCACAGAGAGATATACAGATAATAATGGTAAGCTTATCGTTTCCTAGATGCTCACAGATCTAATAACAATTTTCACCTAAATACTAATTACAGATTATCCACCACCCTATCGTTGCTTAGAGCCTTTAGCCACGAAGATGTGAGAGCATTTTGACTTCCTGAACAGTGTTAGCTTACTCTTGAAGCCGATAATCGTATTCAATCAGCCAGATTCTGACTAGGAAGGCCGGTCAGCAGTCGGAAAACGTTCAGAGGACTTCAGCTAATCTGATTCCTTGGATCTCAAATTAACCATATGACGAGAGATTTTATTTTCCCCATAGAAATGAGGGGAGTCTAAGGGCGACTTAGTGTTAAAACAGCTTACTAACTTTGCACCTGACGCACTGATATTTTTCTTATCTCCTAAATAATTTATGAGAATACTCTTAAAAACAGAACAAATTTGAACGAATAATATGTTAGCTAACCAACAATCTTAACGTTGATTTTTAATATCGGAATCACTCACCTCAACACCTGTTTGAAACGTCTGAAGGAAAGCGGGGTAATTTGAGAGAGTTCCAGAAAAATAGTGATCCCTCGGTCTCCAAACTTGCGTAAACCGAAACAGATATTCGATCATACATTGTCTTACAGTTTGGTCTCATTATGGTTTTATGGTAACAGTAAGCTACGATCTTGAGACTATGGTAATTTGCTATGAAGTTAAAGCCACGGGTTGCAGAATCCTGTGGCTTTAAAATGAACACTACTGTATACAAAACCTTGGTAAGAGGATCCAAGGTCGTAAGCCGCTTTCAGACTGAAACACCCTGTTTAAAAGTTGACTGGAATATCTTGTAAGTCGTACGGAGGACAGTTAATCATGCAAATCTAGAACTGTGAGAGACCATAAAAGTAGGAACGCTTTGCTCTGTTCTATCGCAGATCAGATTCTGGTGTATATAATGTGAATTTAAGTCGCGATCTTGATGATTAGTACACCACGGCAGTTCTAATGGTGGAAAGTTCTTAAATAGCGAACGGATTTAGAAATTTTTTAAGATCTAAGTGTCGTCAGAGTGAGTGCATACTCTATACCAAATTAATAAAATTCGGCATCAGCATCAGAAAAGTTGAAGTTGTGGTTCTGATCGTTTATCATGTGTCATAACTATTTCTTAAACTCAACTGAGTTAGGATCCGATGTAATGTTTCTCTTATCGATAGTTACTTTGTATTCGCACTTCAATTTAATACAATGATTAATTTCTGATCCTGATACTTGTCTGCCCAGTAGTCTTTGAATCACGTTTTTCTCATTGTTAGTTTTTGTTTACACGTGATAAACCATTAAGAAACCTCTGTTTGAGCAGTGAACAGATTATAGTCTACTTACAGGTTGTCAATACCCTGAGAAAAATACCATGCATTGTTACACGTGCAAATCGAATATCTATGTCTTCGAAACGGTTCATTAAAAGTGAACACACTTGTACCAGTAAAGCTGCTCGGATGCAAATAGCTTGCTATTAGAAGACCGTAATCGAGATATTAATTGTGGATAAATAGTTCTCTGCTTGAGAGTCAACAAAGAGCTTGGATCGATTTCAGTTGTCTGGCCGGGGAATTTCGCTTAATAGGGTGCCCAGGAGTTTAGTTTTGTGGTCAGTGTTCTTCCTGTATGTAAATGGCTTATCTAAATACTTGCTAGTTGTTATAATAGCCATTTCCTCAGATCACTACATTAATCTATTCCGCTTATTATCTCTTCCTCCTCTTCATTGCACCTTCTTCTGTCCTCAGACAGTCTTTACTACTAACTTACTGACTTATTAACATGTCGACTTAGTTAGTTCTGAAATCTCATTTGCTTCAGAATTTTATTATCATTATTCTCGACAGTGAGATCGACTCATCTCCTACATGTTAATATGTTAGCTGCTAGCATCCAGAAATCATTCTGCCGTGAGAAAAACGCACTTATTCGAATCAGAGAACAATTTCACAAATAAGTGCCAGCTGATTAACATTAGTGCTGTCAAATGACCAGGCTACCATCCGTCGGGCATTACCAGACACCCGAAAACCTATAGAGAGAACAAGGCTTACGTATCTCTTCACTTTATGGGAAGACAAGTTGATGTTATTACCCCACGATTTTTCTTAACCTAACACCCTCAGTGAAAGTACGCTTCTTCATGTTTCCACAGAGCGTAATCTTGATTTATTAACCACTGAATGCCTCCACCCCAGCTCTAACTATTTGTAGATGCAGTCAAGGCAAATGCAACTCTTCACTTTATGCAAAGACAACTTGGTGTTATTACCCCACAATTATTCTTAACCTAGTTTAAAACATATTCACACCCACGCCTTGAGGTTCACAACGTTGTCGCACCCCCTCCCCTTAATAGAGACTTACATGTCTTGGATCGAGTGCAAGGGCGAGCAACGAAATGGATGATAGGGTCGCAAAATAAAACTTACACAGATAGACTCCAGCATTCGGGATTACAGAGGTGATCTGATTATGGTGAACAACATATTAAGCACGCCAAACCATCCTAATGTGAGCACCTTACCGATGTATCACCATCACTCCTCTCGAGGGATTACTCAAAAAATTGCGCACCAAAGAGCGAATACCCAGGTTCGTGCACAATTCTTCTCATTAATAGCCGTTTCAACTTGGAGTGCTCTCCTAGCTGAGGTGACCACAGCCCCCTGAGTGAGCAGCTGTAAGGAGAGACTTGATAAACACATGCTCACATAAGGATTATCATCTCCCTCGTAGACAAGCTGTGCCTGATGTATGTCTTGAGACCGGCTGGTTGTTATTATTGCCATCTGCTCAGACCACTAACTTAATTTATCGCGCTTATTATCTCTGTTTCCTCCCACTTGTTTACACTTCGGTCCTCTCGCACGATCTTCACTGCCAATTAATAAACCAAATTATCTATTTATTTACTTGGTTTTAAAATCATCTTCTTATTAACATTAGAATATTCTCCTTATTGTTTTCCACATTGCAAATGACTAATCTCCGGCATGGTAACGTGGTAGCTGCTGGAATCCAGGACTCCTACTTTCCTGAAACAAATATAGTCATTCAAATCATGGGACATACAGACTCACGAACAAGTGCCAACTGACTAGAAATAAGCAGTCGAGTGGCTATTCACCCAATTATTTGTATACTGTTAAATCTCTGGAACCGTACCGAAAGAACAAGAATTGAGAGCAATGAAATTATTTAGTTTACACTAACTTCATTAAATGTATAGCATTTTGGATCTAATAACTAGCGCTCTTGATGAATCGTACGCCACGGTTGTTCTTGTGATGAATAATCCTATGGAGGCAGACAGTGGTAATAGGAGTTTTGAAGATCTAAGTATACTAATGAGTGAGTATTTTTTTTTTATTCCGAGAAGTATATATTTAACCGTATCCTAATGATCAATAAAGGCCACCTAGCCTCCTTTCCTCACCAATGTGAAACTGAAGCAACACTTGTGAGTTAACTTTATCAACCGGTATCACTCTCCCGTACCAACCACGTTAGCAAGGCTGTTTGAAAAATGTCATAAGTTTGGGTTAATAGCATGTGATCAGTGTATCAAATATCCATATAGATATCTTAGGCGACCACAAAATGTTCTACCCATTGCCACGTGACATTTTGAAGCATTATCTATTCATAGGCCTTCCATCGTCCAAAGGAGGTATACTATTTCAGGTTTTCATTAGTCCACATCAAGCGTTTTTATACGTCGGTTTTCAAAGTAATAGATTGTATGAAGTCCTAATTCGTCCGCAGCCCACACTTAGTGAGACGTAGTAATGAAGTTATACCGTGTGATAAAACATTGTAAAATTTTACGAACATTTCCTCTGCTAAAGCAGTTTTTTATTTAAAATAGTTTAACAAACAAAATGTCTGAAAAAACTTGAGTCCTGTGTACAGCTTGCTGTGTCACTAACCCGACATATATGGCTCTGCTCGATGATATTATCAATTAAAATAGCTCCTAAATGTTCCATATGGCATCATGTAGTCTATGTTTAATTGACTAAAGTAATTATATTTCAAAACAATTGTTTCTTAACTGGCTACCTTCCAAGCAATTGCTCCAAGTATAATTAATAGCATTGGGCTATCACTATTAGCCAGAAGATGAAAAATATCCGGATTTCGGTCATCAACCAACTGCATCTAAAGACATGCACTTATATTGTGTACAACTTCCCTTTCACAGCTCAACAGTTTGGTCGACGTTTACATAATTATGACCTAAGAGTTGTGTCTAGATTAGAAATAGTTCGTGTTTCGTTCGATCCGGGTCCCACAGCCATATCAATGGTCTGGTCCCTATTTATTCCTAATACTAATTACTTTTCTTGTGAATTGGCTGCGAGAGTTATAACTTAGTCAGCTAAAATGTAGAACTACGTACGTACGTACATCAGTCCATGTTTCCATACTTCATTAACACAGAGATGCATTTGTCAGTTCAAATCCCAAAGTACTAGGGGTAGTAGAACTATTAACAGTGATTGGAAAGATTAGGGTTCAAAGATTTTATTCAAGAAGTATAATGTAATGAGATAAACGTAAAAAGAGAATGATAAAGGTGGTGTAGAATCCAAAGGATTAGGAGTTCCAACACTTCATCTAATGATAGTACCTGTTTCCGAACAACAGCATTCCTTATTCGATAGTCCCAAGATAGACGAGTAGTGCTCCGGAGACACGTATAATCGAATACCTTAACCTGCAAATATCTACTCTGACTGGTCATGTTTTGCAGCCATAAAGTAGGACGGAGCGAACTGATGTGCAATACACTCGTCGTTTGGTTGACGGACGGATATCTCGCTTACACCATAAGTAACGCAAGTTGACACTCTAGTTGGAACAGTATTGACCATAGCTGATGTAGTGTATGAGATAATGCGTGGAAAGTTATCGTTTGGAAACGACTATAACTGGTAAATAATAGTGGTTTGTTATTGCTTCCATTCTTTTTCAGTACAAATCTCGTAGTATTAAATATGCAATGTGTATTTAAGTTTATTTATACCGTATTTGTTTCTCAGCGCTCTACTTTAGCTTCCTTTCTTCCTATTTTGATCTCAGCATCTCCTAGTTCTGCAAGTATTGGGGCGTCGGAGTACTGTCCCTCACCCAGTCGGTCAAGAAAAAGGTATGAATGTGTGCCACAATCTATGAAGGAAACTCCAGATTACATCAGTCAAAGAATTCGCAACAGAACTGCCGTAAAGCGGTTTCGTGAAAAATTAAAAACAGAAGCTAAGAGACAGGAAGATATGAAGGCTAGCTTGATTTCATTGACAAGACTTTACGATAATGAATTAATCCGAATAAAAAACTCGAAGCAGGTAGCTATTCGTATGTCGTTCCTGTTTTTCCTTATGTTTCTGCACTCAATGTTGCTGTTCTTTGCCACTTATTGGCATTATTTCAAAGGATATATTTTTTAATTCCGGAAATAAAGTAGCGGATATTTCTTTGAAAAAGTCCCTGATATTCACAGTTAGTAAGTAGAATAAATCGCTTGATAAATTATATCTGCTGGTGCATCATTACCGTTTGAAAGCAATTCGTTGCTTGCATTAATATGGCTCTTTACATTCCTAGATATAGCTCATACGTTGGTTTTGTTCGTACCAGTTGCAATTAAAAACATCAGAGCTTCTTGAATGTTTCAGGTGGCTGTTTTGTTTTACGTGTTAGCAAGCATTACTTTACTTCCTTCTTATTCATTCCTTGATAAAATTTGGATTTTAGTGAATTGAAATTTATTCATTAGTAATTGTTATTTTCTTTTTCGCTTATTTTAGCAGCTCGAACTGCTATTATATCAACACGCTGCTCATAAAAACATTGTGAGTCAACTTGATGAGATTTTAAAGTCAGAAGCCCAGGCGCGGTTAAGGTTTCAGAATCAACTTGCTAGTGTTCAAGAATTGCCTTCGCCATCTGTAATGAGTTTGGTCAACTAGTTATGATGAATGTTGTATTCATGATTTCTGTCCAAATATTTTGTATATTTATGATTATGATTATTTTCATCTTGACTTATTTCAATAGGTTTGTTTCAAATATACAACATTGATATATTTATTTTGTCGCTACAGCTTTTTGAACTATTTATGTATACATAGATGTTAAATGTAGTTAGTGAATTTGTGTAACGCGTGTCTTAATCAGCACATTACTTCCCGATAAAGTACTCATATTATTTTACTCTTCTTTCGATGTTACTTAATTCTGTTGACCGTACATAAACTATGACTTAAATTTGTCAGTACAACTACGCTCCTTATAGCAGTATTTTCCTTATAACTGTTAGAACTAAACCACATTGATGTTATGCTCAAAAAAGGAAACCATGCGTTTTCGTTATGTCTCCTTTCCAGTGTCGTAGTGATTCGATAAATAACTGCATAAAATTGTCCTAACCTTTATCTCAACTACATGGTTTTGTGGTGTTATTTCTTGTGGTTATACTCAGTCGTGTTTTGTTATCAACTCATAGGGATGGCAGATTAATGGATGAAGTATTGAAACTTCATCAGTTGAGATGGTCTGAACATGTGTTACGAATGCCAAACCACCGACTGCCTCGACGAGTGATGTTTTGTGATGCAGGAGTAGGTTGGAAGAAAGCCAGGGGCGGCCAAACCAAAACATGGCGGAAATCCATGAAGTCGCTGACAAGTGGACTGAGTCATGTTGATAGATGTGGGCTACCTTGTTGGGGTCCGCGAGGTGAAAGTCACTGACGGTTAGAGACCTTGAACAACATGGCTGAAAATCATTTGGAATGGCGCAGGTGCAGGTGTTCTCTCAAATCCTAACCTTTTGAATTCCTCATCACTTCATCTTTTTCTTTTTAAGTTAATTTCATTAGGTCCTACTTCTTGAATAATATTTTCGAACCCTAAAATTTCCGAATACTGCTAATACCTTTACTACCCCTACTACGATGGGATTTGAATTGACAATTACATCTCTGTTCTAGTGCGGTATGTCAACTTGAACTGATGTACTTACGTACGAAGTTCTACGTTGCTGCTGTTTGATGATATCATATTTCCTAACCGATTTTCTATTCACTACCGTTAGTGCGTTTTCGATCCCTTAATTATGTGTCCATAAAATTAACGATCTAGTGTATGAAAGCTGTTTGTATTTTTTTGAGGGATTTTCGGTGTTCAAAAGCATATGCTAGATTCTAACCACTTGGTGTTGCTTATCTTTCCAACGGTCATTTTTTAACCATTTACCTCAATCCTTTTTTGGGATTTCCTTTTGCTGAAGGTTTTGAAACATATATCATCATTAGCTCGGACAAAATTACACAAATTCGCATACATGTGTAGATTATGATGTTATCATAACTAAGACACTATATGCCGCATTTAAGATTAGTAATACAATCTCAGAATCCCCTGGTGAATCCATTCAATACATGCCGTTAAAATAGCAGTGTTATCGATAATGTGGATTTAAAAAAGAGTGAATCCATTTTGCTGATAATTTTACGTCTGTACAAACCAATTGTTTTCTCTTCCAAAAATAGCCAAAAGATCACAACTTTTCCGGGAGAAAGTAATCAATCTTATTTTTATTAATGTCATCCAAGCAACTAATATTCTTGTACAATTAATACCACTAAAATTCTTACTAATATAACTACTACTGTTTCACTTCTTAATATTGTTAACGCATGCATACAAAACAGATGTTAGCAGGAAATTATGTTGAATATGTTTTTTTGTTTTGTTTATATAAGATATAATGCTTTTCATTATTCGTATAAATGCATTGTCCTTTTATTTCCTCCATCGTTTATTCGTTAACTTGGCGATTACGCTTTGAATAGATTATTCTTCACTTCAATTAAAATTTCCATTTTAATTTTACTAATAATACATAACAGATCACTTTTCTATTGCACTTTGACAATGTTTTCCCTTATTGAAACAATTTATTTAAAAAAATTGAGTTATGAGAAAAGCAGTAGAACTTGACATTAACATATAGTATGTATGGCATTAGATGATGATTAAAGAAATTGAACAAATTTAGTATTTAAAACATATAATATAGTAGAGAGTATCTACATTTCCAAAGAAACTTGTATATTGTAGGGCTAGTGTATTATTTCCCTGAGAGGCATATTTAACTTTTGATATAAGTAGAAAGATAATTGTGACTAAATTTTCATTGAATTTATGTTCAAGTTATTATCTACTAATGTACACTAATGAGAAACACCTTTGTTGTTCGAATTTATAACAAATGAAGCTTGAATGGTTCTTTCACTATGACTTTATCTTTCGACACCTATAAGGACATCTATGAAAACTGCCTGAAGTTCACATATTTAAGTAACAGTAACAGGTTTATACTAGTGTCGAACACCATGAATTTATTGGAGTAGTATTCACTAAATAGTATTGATTATCATATTCTTTAGTATGCCTCGATTTGAGATTACACAGTTCTTGGCACTAAATATGCAGTTTGTTTCACATTAATGTTTATAATTTGGCGCTGAACTGAACGACATACATTACCCTTATGTTTCATCTTATGGGCGCAAAGCACTGTCTTAACTAGAGATCACTAGTGAAATAAGTGTGACCGAGTTGACAGTACATTTTAAAAATTAAATAGATATGGAATACTTAACGACTTTCACTTAATGGTAAGGTTGAGAAATTTACAAAGGCTAGTTGAGTCAAGGGCAATTGAGGTGTTGCGTGATGACCTGGAATATTTCTCTTTAGCAGCTTACCGTTGAATGGAATGGTTAGTATTTGTATGTAGCTCGTACGGGCCTGCATATTTTAGTTGTCGTAAGCGGTGGGTTCCCGCTTCTCCTAAAATGTCCAAGTTACCTTTTGTTCGTCTTATGAAATTTCTAAGTATAAGTTTACAATTTAATAGGTAGTTGGATGAGACATTTATTATATTTACTGTAAAGTGAATCTTACCAACAAAATTACGTAGATCTGACTAGATTGCTTGTGAATACGAAGTTCTGCCGTACAGCATATCTCTTCAAATTTTCGAATCATGGTCAGATATTGGTTGATGTGTGGATTAATGATTGTTACATTTGGTCAGTCAGTTGCAACGCAGAACTTCGTACGTAAGTACATCAGTTCATGTCGCCATACCACATCAGCACAGAGATATAATTGTCAATTCAAATCACATAGCAGAAGAGGTAGTAAAAGGAATAGAAGTAATCGGAGAGGTTAGAATTAGAAGATATTATTCAAGAAGTATGATTCAATGAGATAAGTTTAGAAAGTAAAAACTAGAGGTGTTGAAGAACCCAGGAGATTAGGATTTGAGAGAACACAAAGCATAAATGCACCGGCGCCATCGCGAACGATTTTGAGCCATGTCATTCAAGGTCTCTAGCCATCGATTATTATCATCTCGCGGACCCCAACCAGGTAGTCGACAATTACCGACATGGCTAAGTCCACTCGTCAATGACTTCATGGATTTCTGCCATGTTTTGGTCTGGCCGCCCCTAGCTTTCTTCCAACCTATTCCTACACTACAAAACAAAGCTCGACGAGGCAGTCGGTGGTTAGGCATACGCAACACGTGTCCCAACCACCTCAACTGATGAAGTTTCACCACTTCATCAATTGATCTGCCATTCTTACCTAGCATCCGATTCCTAATAACAGCGTTGCTCACTCGGCTGTCCCACGATATACGAGCAATGCTTCGAAGACACCTATGATCGAAAACCAATAACCGACGAGTTTTTGGATAAGACCATAAAATTATAGCCAATTTATTCAAAATCGATCATCATAATATAGTCTATCTATGTGAGAACGATTATCAGTGCAATAATTTGGCTGGAATGAAATTAGGTATTGACGAGGTTTAATTATCCTGTTTTAAGGACACCTCACCAATCCACACAGTAATATGTAATTTTATATCGAAAATCACAAACCTTACTACTTTTCAATGAGAATAATTCAGTTTTGTTTTGGGGGAAACTACACTGATTTTCATCAGAAGTGTTAATTTAGTTAACGATTAAATGTCATGTCGAAAGTTTCGTTTAGTTTTTGTTTAAATGCTTGCTTTTTACTGTTTACAATTAGTTAACGTATCCTGACATTTGTTGAATCACCATTCATATTTGCTTGGTGTTTGTGTATATGGTTGTGGTGAAAATTTTATGACCATTTCACCTCTTTGTATATGAATGTAAATATACTACAAGGTATTGTCTTGTACTTGTTCCCTATGAATAATTTCTTAACATATGGATAGAGAAACATAAATGAAACTTCATTACTCTATTTATCAAATACGGTAATTCCATGCACTATTTTTTCATTCTGTCTAGTCATTTCAGAGTTTGTGATGAGTGGTTGTTATCTATCTTGTCGGCCAATCGCTTATATATTTTATGCACAGGGTGCATACAGATCAATAGTTTGTAGTATCATCTTATCTAAAATACTTCCAGTCATTTAAAAATTATTGTCATAATATTTTGCAATAGCAAACAAGTTTTACGTTAAATGAATAGGACTTCAGTAATCTACAAAGCTTTACTTTGTTGCTGAAGTATTTTTACCGAGAAAGTATTAGTCGTTTTGGAATGCAGTAATTTGTGATCATTTTTGCTGTAGAGAATCAACAAAAGTCATAAACAATCTGTTTTGCTAACATATACTTAATTGTAGGATGCTTTTTAGCACCAACTGACATTTGCGTACGAACCATTGAAAACAATCGAGAACTCAGTATCCGCCGAGTACTATTTATAATTTCTTGTCGGTGATTATCCACAAGCTTATACACTAAACCTACAAGTTTCGTGACACAATGTTATCCTCAAATCACTGATTGAAAATGGGAATTTCCAAATTTTAAACTGTAGTCCGTTTACATTCCCTCCCAAAGTTCGACAAACAATATCAGTAACTAGCTACTGTACTCCTGG